CCGCGTTCAGACAATTAGCCATATTGATGGCCTGCCTATATTGCGGCCCCTGGCAAAAGCCAGAGTGGGGCTTCATATGTTTTATAATCTGCTTCAGCTCTTAAGCTCGCTTTGTTTCTACAGTTTCAACAACACACAATTGGTTTTATGCTGTCTATTCTAATCAATAAAAATGCATCTTTTTTTTTTTTAAAGTTAGTATCACATCAGACCTGCCAGTATCTTAACTTTTACAGTTTTGTCCCTATTCAGTACAAACATGGCGTAGTGTGAAGCTTGTTCAACCGGGCCAGAAAGATTTGCACCGAAGACACACTGGCTGCTGAAATTAAAACTCTCAATTCAACTTTACTACTTTAGTGCTTTTAGTGCTATTGTAGTTGCTGTCGTTTCTGCTGCTGTTGCTTCTTCTTCTCCGTTCATTTATGGAAGGGTCATTAGAACCTTCTGCAGTGGTCTAGAGCTAGGCTGTGATATTTGCGTGTGTCGGCTTAACATATCCAATATAAGCAAATCCTCAGTTAGTAGATATGTAGGACATGCTTACTGAGAAGTAGTGACTATACTGTTTTTTGGGTATGGAATATCAAATGTCATTGCCATTTAACTGAATGGAGTAAATCAATTAAGGGACCTGATCTAATTGCACAACTAGGGATTATGGTTCCTGACTACCTTCAGTTACTGCCCTTGCCTTTAATATTTATTGCATGCTTTTCCAAGTACCGAGCTGGTAAAGAAATCTGAACATCAAGGAAGACTGGCTAATAAATAGGACTGTAAAAAGAGCCAAAAACAGCCGATGACACAAGGCACCACAATTCGGATGAGAATCGCACGGCGGAACTCCTAGCAACTCCGTTTACCCGTTTTTATTTTTTATTTATTTTTTTATTTAGGGCCCCTGATGACAGCCAGGGTGGGGCTTTAACATAACAAAAACAGTAACAACTGCACTTAACTGGAGACATTCGTCGTTCGGCGTAACACTAGTATTTAAATAATGCGGATGCAAACAATACATTGCACAATTTATTGCCAGGTATATTTCGCTGTATCTCATCAGGTGCGTTACTGCAGAGTTACATCAACATAAAATAAAGCACAAAACTGAATAAATGAATAAAATCAACTGAAATGCCAATAGTTTCCTTGATGCATTGTCTCTGTTTCATGGCTGCAGGAAGCTCACCGTAGACACGTGATTTACCAAGGTATCTTCAAATTTACGATAAATTTCGTCTGCTTACAAAAAAGGGTGTTGTTGGTTTGTATTGTTAAGGTTTCGGCGTTTAAAAAAAGTCTCCTGTTCGGAGTGTGGTAAACTACACGGAAAGCACTCCCTGTGTCAATTATGTGTCCGGAATTAAGTAGATGACGTCCTTTGGAAGAAGCGGATTCTTTCCTCTTGACTGGTCTCGACCCCTAGAAGAATCACTGAGCTGTGTATGTAGCCATTTAAGTATATGCTCTGCCACTCTATTTCCAAGCTGTCTCTCTGTTCGACTGATGTTAATCAATTGGCACTAACATGTAAATTGGTATATACAATTGGATTTGGTGTACGGAGAAAGGAGCTGTTTAGTTTGTGGGGTTGGGAAGGGAGTGGTCTTGTACCTCACTACTGGAACAGCCGCAAAAAATTGTTTTGCCAACTGCTGTTTTCAGTTGGTCCTGCAGACGCAGCATGACGTCATAGCCTCGATAAGTAAGTTAGATATATACTCGTAGTTTGAATACTGTAATTTCGTTCAGGGTAGGTTTGGGTGGGGTGCAATGATGTTTGATGAAACCTTTGGGGTACCCACCCAGTAGTAAAGTTGAATTGAGAGTTTTAATTTCAGCAGCCAGTGTGTCTTCGGTGCAAATCTTTCTGGCCCGGTTGAACAAGCTTCACACTACGCCATGTTTGTTGTGACGAGCTGGTCTGGACAGCTGTTTCTGTCCTTTTAAAGATTGCTTTGTTTAGATAATATTATTACCAAAGTTCTAAACATTTTCCTATTGCTTTTAATTAGCATAATAACACTGGACTAATTAAGAAATTTCTTACCCCTTTCCTAATGCTTCATTGTAGCAAAATTATAATTAAAGAGTTGAAAGGTAATAAAGGCGAAGAGTAGTGCAAGGGGTAACAAAGAGTAACTTCCCCCTTGGTAGGACTTCCCATCTTCCATTCTTTCTTTCCAGGCTCAATTGGGGGAGTCAAGATTTTGTTCTCCCCAAATTGACACAGTTCAGTTAGTTCTGTTGTCTTGTTGCCTGAGTTTGAATTCCCTGCCAGGGGTGAGTTAAAAGAATAAGTTTAATTTGATGTATTGCTGCTTATTCCTCTGAATTAATTCCACAGGTTAAATTCTGAAATTTAATGCCCACATGGCTCAAAAACTATGATAAATTTCTTTATCCTCACTAACCACGTTTATGATCTAGTATGTACATGTATGCAAACATATTGTCTATTTGATGATTGAAATAATGTTTATTTGCTACTAGAAACGTGCATTGGTATTTTTAATTATTATACTTATATTAATTAAGTGATAATTATGTCCTCATGTGAAATCTCAGCCAGTTCCTGTTTCCAGCTTAGACAATTAAAAATCAGAATGGAGTGTATATTCATTATACCTAATCCCTACTAAGTTGATTTTTACCTCATGGTGATATTAGCTTAATAAATCACTGTCTTGCTTTAATTTAGATTTAGTCCAGATAATTCTGAGACTAGTTTAAGAGCTTGGAAAAGTGAATACCACAGTGAGGCTGAATTTAATATTCCCACTGTCAGAGAAGAAGAAAGATGTATGGCCCATGCTTGTAATTATTATTGTTGTATATATATTTCCACCATTACTAGGAATATTTCAGTACTGCAGCAGGTGGCCTTACAATTGTAATAATTATATTTCAACCTTCCTACTTCTAAACTCTGCTGAATAAGATTAGCACATGTGTGGATTTAGATTTAAACTGGAGTGAGTGTTGTATATTTTATGTTAATACTGTGACAGATGGAAAGCCCATTGTCATCTATGATTGTATTTTGACATCTATCTCATCACCCAGTATATTGATGGAGATATGTCAATCCCATTTGTTTTCAAACAGTGCAAAGCACCTGTTATGAGTTCCTGGTCTTGGTAAACTCAATCCCTGTTTCTCATTCTTTGTGATGTGAACCCATGTGGTTAAGATAAGAATATTGTGAAATATGACTGTGTATGTCTGTGTGTGTAAGCATGTTAACCCTTTAAAGGAGTACTAGCGTGCAGACAGCAGAACAATTTACACTGAGGAATGTCCTTTCTTTTTGTGTGATGTAAACTCTTGTTCTTGAGAGTATTCATGAAACTGGTTTCCTAAATATTTCCCCATCAGGATTATGGACCATGTTCTGTACACATTCCTATTCTATACCAGTAGAATGTGAACACCTGTTACTATCCTACTCCATTTGTATGTGTGTAGTGTAACAGTTTAAAGACTGGGGGTATTGTTGTCTCCAGTTAGAACCTTCCTGACTGTTTGTATAAGGACTGTTCTATTGTTCTAGTTCCAGATTGTATTCCAGATGGTAGTCCAGAAGTAGATCCTAAGCTTAGCTGCAGATACCCGATTGTCCGGACTGGACTGGAAGATTCGGCCTGCCTGATGTGTTGACCACTTACCTTATATAACAGGATAATTTTATCCACAGCCTTTTATTTAATTATCATTTGAATTTTCAAAATAAATGTAGTTTTAATGTTCTTACAGTTTTCTGAAGTTTCATTTTAACTGAAATTGTGTCAGTGAACAAAAGCTAGTATAACTTTAATACATTTAAATATTCAAATTTAATAACAGTAGGGAATAGATGTGGGCAAACCCAGAATCCTCTCATTTAACCAGCAAGGCTGGGGTTACTATAAGACCGTATGATGTTTCACTGTTTGTAGTTCCCTCTGTAAAGTGCACATAGTGCATTCGCTAGTGTAAAGCGAAGTTACCCGCCACATTTGTACTGAATAGGGACAAAACTGTAAAAGTTAAGATACTGGCCGGTCCATGTTTCTTTTCGGTACCCTGATCTTTGATACTGCCATCCTCTCTACGTGCAATAAGTTCATTAAGGAATGGTAAAGTGCCGTCATGTTCGTGTTGTAACGATAATGTGATGTTTCTGTGTGACTGGTTCATGGTACATCAAGGAATGGTCAAGTGTCGTCACGTTCGTGTTGTAACGAATGTGATATTTCTATGTGACTGGTTCATGGTGGTATGAAACGCAGTGGCTTGCTGTTTGTCAGCAGTTATTATTAAAATATCATCTACAAACCGACGGTACAAAAACAAATCTCTGATGTGGGCAGATCTGCTATTTTCGAGATGTGCCATAAAGATGTCGGCCAAGATGGGACCTAGTGGGCTACCAATGGCGACTCCGTCAATTTGGCGGTAGCTCGTTTCAAGGAAATTAAATTTCACATTTGCGGTGCAGAGGCGCAGCAGTCTGACCAATGTGGACGTCGGAATGTCCAGTTTAAGTTTCTTATCCTTTATTTGAACAATTATAGTTTTGATGGTTTCTTCCAACGCCACATTGGTGAACAACGATGATATGTCTATAGAAGCCATGTGTTTATCTTTTAGATAAATTTTGTCAAGCAGTTCAATAAGCTCAAACGTATCTTTCAACGTTCAATTTTCAAAAGACTGCTTTACTTGTAAAAGTAATGTTAGTATGCTTCTTTATTATTATTATTTTGTAAATATGTGTTGATAAGCGATTGTTTCTCAGTACCGTTGTATTATGCATGAATGAGCAACATTGCAACAATGTAATATAATGTATTAGTAAACTTCAAAACCCATCACACACACATCACACACACACAAACCACACACACACACACACACACACACCACACACACACACACACATGTTTTGTTCTCAGTTCGATGTAGCAGATTCAGAGAATATGTGTATCTGTTTGGTTGCCATCTAGGGGTGATAACTACCAGACTTCACATTTCTTCACCGGATTCATGTAGGATCCAAGAGAGCAGTTATAGGCCTTGGCGAATTCCGGTGAGTTTTGCAGAGGGCCGATAATCCTGTCAGAGATAATATTTGGGAAGATGAATGCTGGTTAGTATCTGTTTGGTAATCTACATCAAAATAATCAACGCCTAAACGGAACATAATAGAGTTTTAATGAACAGGTTACTGTGTAGGTATTTGTTCTAAACGTGCCATGTTGTCATCAAATGAAGGACTGTGTTGGATTTCTTATTCTATTTCTCGTTCTTCATCTTTCTCCTCCTCCTTCTCCTCCTCCTCCTCCTCCCACTTTTCCTTTACCAGCTGTAAACGGAAAGTTTAGAAAATCACTTAACAGCGTCCCCAGGTGGGATGCAATTTTTCGTTTTTTGAAGCCCCACCCTGGCTTTTGTCGGGGGCCCTGAATATAGCTGGGCAATAAATTTGGTCTAACGGCTGAACGGGGTTGTTGTTGTTGTTGTTATTGATCCAGCGGCGCATGAGCTTTCGCACTTTGGCCCAAAGCTATGTAGTTGAATTTACATGTTTTCATAAGCTGTTATTTTCCTCCGTACAAAGTTTTCCACCTGTCTAGTCTCGGAGGGAGCAGCATTCTTCTGAACGGGGTTTCGGGGACCTCTCCACGAGTGATCCTCATCTGCATGGTGGCATTTTTGCCACCTGGTGTTTATCGCTTCGTGTGATGTCCTGGTGTGGTATAACATACGTACATACGTAAACGGAAAGGTATAGTCTTTCGTCCACTTCTGGACTTTTAGCCTCGTTCCATGACTTGAGTTTTGGTGCACATACCTTTTACCTATCTGGCTTACCTGTAAGCAGACCGAAAGTTCCTTACCTCTCTGGCAGATACAGTCAAACGTTGAAGGAAACACCCCTAGATAATCGTCTTTTGCATGAAGCTTGTTAGGGGACATTGGGACAGGCGGACAGACAGACAGACAAACAGACGGACAGACATTGTATTGGATGGTATATAGGTAGATTTGTCCACATAATTGTTGAGTATTCTCACGACAGCTGATTGTCTGTGAGTCCAGAGATGACTTGTAAGCCCAATACGGGCACGGCGGCATCTAGAACAATAGAGACAGTGAACAGATTTTGTAGATAATGTTTTTAACGCGGGTCTTTCTAGCTTGCCGTGGCTGTTCAGCTGCCTTTGTTTCTAGATGCCTCACATGTTTCTTCTGATAGACGTTCAAGATACAGTCCGATCTTGTGAAGCAGCATCCCAGGTGTCAAGGTTTATACTGAAGCTTTGAAGTGATGCCTTTAAACAAAAACAAAGCAGTGAGTGTTTCAACATGAGTTACACTCAAACCCACCTGAATTTCCCAGGTGGATGGACGCCTTTTGTGATCTGTTGTATGTACCCATAAGGGGTCGCTTTCTCACACCATACCTATAAACAGAACATTGCATTATCATTAAAGTACCAAATATTGCCAAAGATGCCTTAAACAGACAAGCACGCTTCTATCCAATGATCCACCGGTAACGGAAAGACCTTCCTTAAACGCGTGGCAGTGAATTGAGTATAGACGGTGATAGTGTCATGTGTTAAGGAAAAAAAGGTACATGAAAGGTGATGAGTTAAGTATTGCTTCAGCTGTCCTTACTTTTGTCAGCATTCATTAGTGCCAAAGTTCACCTGTTTAGCACAAAAGAGTGAGTTATTGGACTTGAGAATCATCAGTGGTAGATCTTTCAGTGATCATGTCTGTGAACATAGTGATCGTCGTTCAGATCAGGGAAGGGGCTAAGTCTACGACAATGCATCCAGAAATGAAGGTGAGGTATGGGGATGCATCCAGCAAATGTATGAGTGGAGTTAGAAGTTTCAAACGGGGTGCGATCCACTCTGGTTAAGTAAAAGTACAATTTTCCACGCCTTTAGGCGTATTGGGCATATAGGGCTAGACCTATATTTTATAGACAAATCGGCACTTGGTGGGTCATGTCGCCAGTATCTCGCCGGTCACCTTTACTTCCTATGACTGCACCTGGTACCAACTTAAGGTTGGGTCAAGCTGAAAGCCAAGGTCATTTAAGAAAAAAAAATTATCAGCATTCCACTAAGTTGTGCAGTGCCAGTCTATCTGCCTTTTAGTGTCCTAGCACTAAGGCTTTACCTTGAGAAAAAAATCCAGACAATGCTCCTCACCTGCGACATCCGAAGTGAAGCATGCCACTAATCATGAGGAACATGCTTTCTGAGTCAGTGAAATCACGAATTGTGTGTGTGTGTCGAGTTCTCCAGCCAGCGGAAAGCTGCAGTGACCGACTCTACCTCCATTCTTAGGCTGGATGTTCTGGTATCATACGCTAGTCTCTCCTGCACGAAATCTCGACCATAGAGCCAGACCTAGTCCTAAAAGACTAACGTAAATTAAGGGTAAAATTAAAACTGAACAAGAACACACACGTGGCAACAGGGCAGTAACAAACATTTTACTATACAGGCTTACCTGTCCCCAAGCCAGAAAGAAGATCTGGTCTTGAGTGAGCCCTAAACCTGGTAGCCTGGGTTGCTCACCTTCGTTACGGACCAGTTCCTTGTAGGCCCTAAACAAATGATAACCCTAATTAATTTTTTTTTTAAATGGTGGATAGATTAGTAAAAGCTTAGTTGTCGGACAGTTCTTTTAGTTCAACCTCCAGCGAACTCATTTTTTTTTCTGTGGGGTGATGGGGGTGGGAAGGGGGGGTGGTGTGGTATGCGGCTATTGTGTAGACCTAGCCACATTCTTCCTTCTTTGCGTTCACTGCCTACGGCTGAAATTCGAGCGGAAACTTCTGGTTGTTCGAACACTTTTATTTTGTTCAAAGACTTGACTTTTGTGTGTATATCCGTTTTTCAAGTTGGGCTTATGTATGCAGACGGTTGATTACCCAGAAAATCGTATAAAAGGGAAAATAACAAAATAAACTGTCTTTCGCATGTCGACTAGACTAACATACGTACAATCATACCAGATTAGACCGCATAATTTGTTTGCATTATAGTTTCTTCTTTTACTAGTTTACCAACTATATAGGTTCTTAAACGCATCATTATCGTCATCATCACGTTCCCTGCCGACTGGCATAGGTGTTCATGCATCTGCACATATCTTTGTCCCCTGTCCTTTGGATCAGTTTCAACAATGATATCCCCCCGTGCCATCGTGGCAGTCCATCCGTCATTGTCTTTCTTGGTCTGCCTCTCCGTCTTCTACCTTTAATCTTCCAAGTCCTCAGAATATTCTCCAAAGTCGTATACACAGACAATGTACAATACGGCCCAGTTAATGCACTGGCGCATTAACTTTCGGGTTAAGCCACTTGAATCCCATCCATCCCACACCCCTATATAAAATTAATGGGCCCGAGAGGCGCAAACTGTAAAATCACCCCTCCCCTCCCCCCTCCCACCCCACAACATTGTCTAAATAGGTGAATCGACCCTATTTATTCATTTATGTAAATTATCATAAAGAATTAAAAATCATTTTAAATACATTATTATAATCATTTGCAATTCGGTATTTTTTATTGTTAGTATGCTGTAAAACTAGGATCAAGCCCCTTGAGATCCCACCCTCTTATTAAATAACGATTTGTTAGGTGGACTGCTTTGGAAAGAGGAGCCCCTCGCCACCCCCCCCCCCCCACCTTTCAACTGTTTCCCATCCCACCCTTCCCCTCTCCTTTTCATCTTGTTGTCAACGCAGCTAAGTAATGTGATATATAAATAATGACACACATAATGTCATACAGACATAATTTTTCTTAAAAAAAACTCTGATACAAGCGTAATAAAAGGAGTCCTTTAATGTAACACATAAATTCCCATCATATGTAACACACATACAAAACCCCTATGGTTATGACACATAAAATGATGACAGCTAATGTGGTACGCAATAATTGTTGCATGCTGAATACATTTGCTGGTCAATTGTACCAGAGTACAGAGACGGGATCGCATGTCCTAGTCTTGAAGACGCTAGATGATGTTGATAAAAGAGGTCGTGACGAATGCAAATGGTTCACGTTGCAAGATGAGGATAGCGACGAGTGCATCGAGTCCAGGCTAAACAAGGAGTTCTACACTTTCACGGATAAACACAGATTCGCGGAAATTGCGAGACCCGAAAAGTTAGCTGCTGAAGGGCGCTCGTGAAGGAGGCAGTGTCACTCTGTCAGCGATAGATGACGGACGCATATGGGAATACTTGCCTTTGGTGAGTGGGCATGTGTTTTCTTTATTCCCATGGAGAATGTGAATGTTTAAACGTTATTAATCACATGTTTGCCGCTGATTGTTGTCCCATTATGCTAGCTGATTAATACAATTGACTAGAGCACTATGGAAGATGCGGCGTCCGTGGCTAAGGCGTTGCGAGTCCGACTCGTAAGCCAGCACACCGCGATCGAAACCCACTGCAGGCTGCGTGGATTTTTGTCGTGGTGTGGGACGTCGCAGGACGACCCAGCCTAAAATGGGTACCAACCAGGATGGGCTGTCCTGGGAAAGTAAAGACAGCCGGCGTAATGCTGACCACATTACCCACAGTGCTGATGGTCTGTAAAAATATGGGACGCTCTGCCCATATGCCCGATGCGCCGAAAGGCGTGAAAAGGGATCTTTACTTTTTTTTTTACTTTTACTTACAATGGCAGATACCTCTTGATGTGTTGCCGTGATACTGTTAACTGAGTTTAGCTGTGCGATGTGACTATGTTAAATGTGTTAGTTAAGCATTCTCCGGTAGGGAACCCAATCAGTCGCCAAAAGATCGACTAGGGAACTTTTACAGATATGGGTGAAGCGTTAATCATTCACCTCTAGACACTGCACCAGGAGGCGGTGCCTTACAAACATTGAGCATCATAACAGGGAGGTCAAGCTTCGTATATGGGCATTCGCTTCTCAACAATAAAAACCAAAAGTGGCATAAACATTTTAACCCAATGAGTGTAATACAGATTGCACTAGTTATTGCAACGCATCACTTACCTGAAGCTTTGCTTGACACCACCATTATCAGATACACTGTCCCCTTGTGTCATAGTTCCGTTCACCTGTTACATAAAGAGGAGAGTAAGCGAATGTTAACGTCCACGCGAAGAGGCATGGAGTTGAACTTACATGAATGCATGTATATATGTGAATCTATACAGGTGTTTGCAACTGTTTTCCATATAAACATATTAAAATATAGAAGAATCAACTACCAACTATAGCTCTCTTTGAGATTTTGCAAAGAACAAGGATGCAAATTTAATATCGTATGTTGACTGCAGGAAACCAAATGAAATAACCCAAAATGAATCTCAAGCCATTCTGTTATCAACTAAATTTATATAGAGTCCACATAAATCTAAATGTGTTACTAACAATGACATGTGCAGAGGCTATTGGCAAATTCATTTGTCTGAGAATGCTGTTAAACATTCAAGCTTCCAGTCACCTATTTGATTTAAAAAAAAAAAAATATCTGATACCTTTCGAGTCATTGAATACGCCTAAAATATTTACCAAACGGATTCATAAATTTTTACATAGTATTCTAATGACATTTTTTTTTTAAATCCTAAAGAAAGTTTGTTAGCTAGGATAAGAGAGTTTACACTAACTGTTAATTCACTAAAATCTATTCTTTCAAAAATTCTTACAATTTAAGACTTCAGGGCATGAATGACGCTTCAGTATATTTGATTATTTTAACACTAACTCTGAAATTGTCAATAAACGTTCAAACAATAAAGCAAAAGATAGACGCGTGTACAAGTCTCACGTTCACATCAAAAGACTGACAACAAACAACGCTGAGCTAATACAAACATGTTCCACCATGTAAAGTAGAGCCAGTAAAAGTTAAGATTCTCTTTAGGCTCATTGGGCATATGCGAAGAGCACCCATATTTTTACAGACCGTCGGCCGTCTTTACTTCCACAGGACATCCATCCTGGTACCTATTTTAAGCTGGGTCGACCTGCGACGCCCCATACCAAGATAAAAATCCATGCAGCCAGGACTTGGTTTCGATCGCGGTACGTTGGAAGTACGAGTCGGACTCTCAACGCCTAAGCCACGGACGCGGCTTCCACCATATAGTCACCACATATATTTTCATGGGAGTTCGCAAAGGTCAGTTTCTTCTGCTTGAAGGAAAATGTATAAAATCATTTGCTTACCGTCATGTTTATTTCATAAATACGAAAGTTGTTGTTCTGGTCCACGATACACTGCATTTTATCCATAAATATTATAAGCTCTTCTGGTTGCCACCAATCGCGGATGTCACCGTGTGCATCAAAGCGGTATCCTATTGAGAGTGAGCAGCCGTTCACAAATTCTTTATCAATGAAGTGTATCAGGAGGGATGATTGAAGGAAAAGAAATGTAGAGGGGTAGATAAACAAACGAACGAAGGGTTCAGGAGAACGAATGAACGAACGTTTTTTTCAAAGGGTTAAGAATTCTAAACATAGGTCCATCTAACACAGCGTTTCTCAAAATGTTTTGGTCCATCACCCGTTACATAAAATGACAAGAACACCATCTCCCAGTAAATATCGAAGTCGGTTTGTTTTATACAACGGATCAACATAATAGCAAACCGGTAGTACCCTATAAGTGCTCCGTTTTACAACTAACTCAAGTCTAAGTCCGAAGAATCTCAGCGTAGTGCACGAACTCCGTAACACCGGTGAGGATCCTGCAATTTTTAAATAGATGTTTAACTTCAAATTTTTAGGCTACTCTTTTCTTTTTTCAACGGCCAAGGTATTTTTTAAGTGCACAACAATAGGCACGGGCGTCCGATCTTACTACCCAGAGACCAGAGGGAATTATTTACTGGTCCATGTGAAAAATTTCAGACTTCACCGGAGCCTGAACCCATGACCTCCATCACTTGACGTCATGAATCGAGACTACTCAACTCCCCGTTATTAATTCGACGTCAAATCATCATCATATTCCATGCAGAAAAGAGTATGCTGTCATCAACTGTCATCCTTCACGAGCAGCAGAAACACGGATCACGTGATACTCATGTCTCGGACATGAACGTGGCCAAGGCATCGAGCTATGTATCTCTTTTGTTCTCCTTCCGTCCTCTTTCCACCAGTGTTGCTATTTGTCACTAACTTCTCGAGTCTATTCCTTGCCTTGAAATGTACTTTCTGTAATCAAACATAAAGAACTATATAATGGCAATTTGTTCTTCTCTCCAGTTCAGTTTCATAGATTGCTTTAAGAGTGTCTTCGGCGTTATAAAACTCTGAGACAGACGGGGCTTCATAATCTTTCCTGCAGCATTTGTAAGCTCCGTCGTTCTATTTCTTCGCCTCACATTACATTCGTTCGGGTAGGCTTTTGGAGACTTGCTATTGACACCATTTTATAAAGTCAGTAATAGATATCTTCGTTTACTTGTATGAGAGAATCTCTGTATGTTTTATTGAGCAGTTGAACGGTCTGTAAAGCAATGCTGAAGAGACTATTTAGTGTCTACCAAATCACTCGTACAAAATGTCTATTATTTAAAAAATGCATTTTGTGAGTAACTGTTGCTTCTTAGAGTGTCAGCTCAGGCCTTCATTCCACTCTGTGTCGAAGTGTGAAAGTCTTCCTCTTCTTCTTCTTCATCATTCCGAGCCCTTGAGGTTCATTACTGCAGATATCACCCGCCTCCATTTATCTATCTGGTTGGCCTTCTGTTCCAGTTGGTGACACCAAGTGTTTGCAGGTCTGTCTAGATATTATCTCTCCATTCTTCTTGGTCCGCCTCGTGGTCTACGACAATTCATGTCCCTTGTGTATACAGTTTTCTCTTATCTGTCATCTGACATTCTCTAAATATACCCCAAGAATTTTAGTCTGTTAGCTCTCATGATGCCAGTGATCAATGGTGATTTAAAAAGATTATGAATTTCGTTATTGCTTCGTAATCTCTATTCCCCGCTGTTTGCATCTTTGATGGGTCCAAAGATTCGTCGGAAGACTGTTTTCGAAAATTTATAATAAGGATTCATCTCTTTAAGCTGTGCTCCAAGATTTAGAGCCATATAAAACGACTGGTCCTATAGTGGTGTGTAGTGGGAACATTATTTTTATTTAGTGCTTAGTAGTTGCAGCTGAGGCTGCTGCCGCCCCCTGGAGGGTCCCATCGACCCAAATTTGATCAAAGTCGCTACCAATCCCCTGAACTGACAGCTCGCACCCCCTCCCCCCTCCCACCCACCGCCCACCAATATTAGATAACAATTTAGATTGTATGATCAAGGAAATATTTAAATCGAAAGAAAACAATGGAAAGGGAGAGGGGGGGGGGGGGGGGGGGGTGGTGTCTAAAAAAAAAATTAGGTAGGAGGGAGTAAGAATGGGGATTGAGGTGTCGTGTAGACAATCATTGAGGTAGATGAACATGTTTAGCAAGGTTAAAAAATATTTAAACTATTGGATTAGAAAAGGGCGATGCTAGAATTGAAGAGTCTATTGTAAAAGATATTGTTTTAATTGGTAAGAGAATAGCATACGGATTAAAAAGACATTGCGTGCAGACTAGACGGAATTTTTTTTAACGTGAAAATTAGAACAAAAACATGGGCTAGCTATTACTTACCGTTGTTTTCAAATCCATGGGTAATTTCATGTCCAATGATAGTACCGATGGTGCCGTAGTTCATGTAGCTGGGGATATACGGCATCAGTGTGAGAAAGAGAGAGTGGGAGAGAGAGAGAGAGAGAGAGAGAGAGAGAGAGAGAGAGAGAGAGTGTGTGTGTGTGTGTGTGTGTGTGTGTGTGTTCGTGGCACAAAATTGGTGGGTGTTTAAGTTTTTCCTGCAAATCTACTTTTGGTCTATAATCATTACACGTTTTCAATAATTTTGTTTGTCCATCTGTTTATTTTATTACTTTGCCTCATTAATATTTCACTATCCTTAAAATTTAAACACACAGTGTGCTGTCAAATGTCTTGTTATCTGATAACAAACATCTGTTGGTACATGGAATGTCTTTCCCTTGGTTTGACCCAATCTCCTTGCAAATCTGATTCAGTCAGGTTTTGTTAGCCTTTTTTGCATTTAACTAATTTTTTTGTGTAAGTAGAGTAAAGGACCTTTTCCCACCCCTTCAGGCGTATTGGGCATATAGGGTTGGACCTAAATTTTAGAGACCAATCGGCACTCGGTGAGTGGATATGGTCACCTTCACACCAGCCGCTTTTAATCTGATGACTTTACCTGAAACTTATGTAATGACGGGTACACCTGGAACCCAAGGTTATTTTGTTTAGTTTGACTCTGTCTGAATCTGAACCCACAACCTTCGGATCGTCAGGCAAGCGTCTAGCCGCTACACCACAGTGGCTTCCATTTCTTTATGTATTCTAAAATTATTTTTTTTATCACTTTCTTTTTTTATCCGTTAACTCCAGAAATGCATGTGCCAGTTATTTCCATATGTATATATGACTATCCTACGAATAACGCGCACATATTATGGCGGCCGCAAAAAAATACCTAACAGGGCCTCAGTCACGTGTCAATTGCGCACTTCCGGCGACCTAATTTGCGGTTCTCCAGCGACTACCGCCACCGCCGAGAGTATCCCTAAAGCCGCTTACGCGGCGTGGATTGCGGCTGAACTAGATGTTTGGGACTCACGAGCAGCAGCTTCCGCATCTCCTGCCGCTTTGCTCGTGAGTCCCAGCCATCTAGTTTAGTCCCAATCCACGCCGCGTGAGTGGCGTGTGGGATACACTCAGCGGTGGCTGTAGTCGCCAGAGAATCGCAAATTAGGTCGCCGGAAGTTCGCAATTAACACGTTACTGAGGCCCTGTTTTTGGCCGCCATAATATGTGCCCATTTTTCGTAGGATAGCTGTATATATATATATATATATATATATATATATATATATATATATATATATATATATATATGTGTGTATATATATATGTGTGTGTGTGTGTGTGTGTGCGTGTGTGTATCAATAAATATATTCGTGTCAGAGAAAAAATCTCTTTTTATGTCTGCTGAAATGACTGGCGCAATATATCCCTTTGTTGATAATTTACATATTTTGCGCAGTGATATTCATAGCCTGCAGATGTACACAACAAGTGTCAGGGTTACGAATGCAAGCATTATAACAAACACAAAAAACGACACCCGGGCAGAAATTAGAAATATGCATACTTATTATAGTCGGTGCCTGTGGCTCAAGCGTTGCTAACAAGGTTGCGCAATGCGAGTGTGCTGGGTTCGACCCCTTTTTGTGGGCGATTTAGCAGCAGAATGTCTTAGAATTTAAATAAGATTCTATTAGTTAAACTGATAGTTAGTCCTACCTTCACCTTTACAAGAAACCGTTCAGTGAAACAACAGCCTCGTTTCCTGTCTTGCTTTAATTTCGACAGCAGTACCGAGACCTGACCGTTCTGGAGCAATGGCAAATTACTGAACGTAAAATGTGCTATAAAAAAACCCACAAAATCCAAAATATGCTGGAGTTTGCTTTGCAAACTTCCTGCAAAGGAGACGCAACTAACTTTTCACATTAACTAACACTACCAGAACTAAGTAGTCACAACGAATAGGAAGAGCAGGGAAAACAGGACCAAAATGTCACAGATATCTAGTGATGGTCAATAGTACTCTCGGATAGGGAACTTATACTATCAATCATAGCTGACAAATACACAAATCTCAGCTAACACACTTGGCACGAATAAACCAGACCACACATTTAACCAAACGCTGCTCGCAGCAAACACTGTAAGCAGCGGGTTCATCATGATTGACCACTACTGCCTTGGTATCATGCGTTATAAGACAAAGTCATCGGCAATATATTGGGCATATTCTAGAAAGAGGCAATCATAAACACACTCTGATATACGAAAAACATTTAAGAAATGTAGACTTCTAAGAAAAACTGTAAGACTATCAGTTCTAGACTGGATTGGGTCAGTGGTATCGAAAAAATTGCACGCTTTAGAATTGACCGGAGATCTACGTGAAGTAAAAACGATATGGCTCGATAATGATTATTATGATGATAGCCAATCAATAAACACAAGTTGGAACATTGAACTTACTTTTGGAATGTCTCTGAGAATATTGGTGATCGTAGAAAACCAGCAGGAAAAACTGAAATTATAAAAATTGACAACTGTAATGCTTTTGTACATAGTCGGTCGGTCTGTTTGTCTATCTGGCCCTTCTCAAATCCGTCAGTCCATTCATCTCTCTACCTATTTATGTGCCATTGCTATGTCTGTCTACATTCCTACAAACACACAGATCCATCTCTTTGTCTGCCTGTTGTCTGTCTGTTTGGCTCTTTGGCTGTCTGTGATCTTTGGTTTTAAACCATCATATAGTGTGTGTCCTTAGTGCACTCGCTATGAGCAGATTCATTATATTATTACTCCTGCAAAATTCCTCCCATTGTCTAGATATACTGTTAGGTCGCTTTCTTAAAAACTACCTTCCAACCAGTTTCTCTGCCCGTGTTTCAGTCCTTTCCTTTAAATCACGTAAATAAAATCTCTTCACATAGCACGAACTCCATAACGCCGACGACCGTGCAAAAGTGTAATATTTTACCCAGACTTGGTATATCTACTTTACAATGTAGCCTTTGTATGAGATACCAACTTCTTAGCAATATGTGACGTGGGCAACTGAATATAGAGTCACCTAATTTTGCAGGAGATATACTATGCCTATGTCTGTGTCTGTGGTTTACTCGTATTGAATACGCTTTGTAATGCCGAGGTGTCAGGTTCCATCACAACTGTATAGGATTTGGCAGCAGACGGTCTTGGGTTGGTTTCGACAGTGGTACATGGAGCCGACCGTTCAGGGCAATGGCAAACTACTAAAGGTAAAATTCCGGAGTAGAATTACTGCCATATAATGTTGGAGTTGGTTCTACAAGGTCATGTAAACGATAAGCAACCATTGTTTTTAATATATATATATATATATATATATATATATATATATATATATATATATATATATATATATACATATACATATATACACACACACCGTGCCGTGGCTAGGCTTGATTAGTTTATACGTGTAAACGTTAGCAGGTATCGGTTTAAATAGGGATCACATAATACCCCTCCCCCTCGTCGATTCGCTGTTCAGAATATGGGTGCGCAGTAAGCATTGCAGTACTAGTAGACAGTAACTTTTACTTGTACAATGTCTGCATTACCAGCGTTAGCAAACAGTCAGGGTTCTTTTCGCTTTGCTCAAGATGTAAAGCAAGTTGAGTATTTGTAATAAACAGTGATAATAAATAGTAAACAATGATAATAAATAGCACATAATGATAATAAATAGTAGACACTGATAATAAATAATAAACAATGATAATAAGTAGTGAACAATGATAATAAATAGCTAACAAATAATATTAAAAAGTAAACAATGATAGTAAATAGCAAACAATGATAACAAATAGTAAACAATGATAATAAATAGTAAACTATGATGATAAATAGTAAATAATAAACAATGATATTAAATAGTAAACAATGATAATAAATAGTAAACAATGCTATTAAACAGTAAACAATGATAATAAATAGTAAACAATGATAATAAATAGTAAACAATGATAATAGATAGTAAACAATGATAATAAATAGTTAACAATGATAATAAATAGTAAAATAATGTATGTTTTCTTATGGCATTGGACAGTGTAAGCCGTTACATGCATGCTTCGTCGCTGGTAATATGAGCAGTGTCGACGGTTGCTATTGCAGCATCCGATCTACCACTAGGGAGCAACTCCTGAAAATAAGTGCACTTACTTTATGTAGTACACTATAACAGAACCAACATCTATTACTGATACCAGTGACAAGATTTAAGAAAACCTCCAAGCGCCACTGAATATATGTACCATAAAGAAGCAAAGATAAAGAACAGCCCAAGAAACCCGCTGCAACTACGACAAAGACATGCCATCACTCGTGAGCTGACTACTATCGCGAGGAAAGGATGCGCCAAGTGTAGCCTGCCGACAACTGAAACCTTGAGTACTACCACAAACGATACGCCACGAGATATGATAGCAACAGAGCACACATCTACTATGCCTTATGGTAACCATGAAGTCAATCGGCTATACTAAAGAAAGCTACAGTTAATAAAAAGACATTTGTACATGGAGCGATGCCATCTAAAGAAAGATAGGCAACGACAGATGGTTCAACCAAACTGACCAGAACCAAGATTTACCTGATAAATTGAAGAAGGAATTAGATTTCTTAGACCTGCCAAGATCCAAAATAGGCAACTATCTGGAATCTTGACTGGGGAAAATGGGCGAAGCCAGAATCAGAAAGACACATGAGGGAGTCATTGCTGCGCTGAATGAAACGAATCAAACGTTCAAAATGATTGGAGACATCGCCACACACTCGTCAATAAAGCTACAACTTTTTGAGCTCCCTGTGTGGGTTCCGGGGCCCTATTATAAGAAAGACAAGAATAGACCCACTGCCTACTCAAAAGCATGTCGTAAGAGTCGACTAATTGGAAGCTTGCTTCGAAGTCGGAGTGCATCTGTCTGAGAGGCAAGGAACCAGCAGTCTGCATACAGATGAGTCAGATCTGTAAAACGGATGCACATGCAACACTCAGGTTCTGGAACAGGGCTGCAGTCCAGAAGTGGATGAACAACCAGAACTTTCCGCCAGAGTTTACAGCTGGTGAACTTAAAGAAGAAGAAGAACTTCCTGAGAGGATAACGGCTGCGGTCAAGATGTTCCCAGAAATAAGGAAAATAGGTGATCAAGCGAGTCAACACGAAATGGTCCAACTAAGAAATTGATGAACACCTGTAAAGACAAGGCCCTCCGATAAAGATAGCACATAAAGAATTGTATCCAAGGCGAAAAATTCAACATGGCTGTGGTATGCAAAGAGTTCTTCAATGCTCCAGATGCCAAAAGGGATTTCATACCAGATCAGCAAGCCGCAGCAAATCAGACATTTGTAGATATTGTGTTTATTCTCACTCACATAGAGATTCTCTGCTAAAAAAGCAAGACATAGACCACCCCCCCCCCCCCCCCCAAAAAAAAATGCTAACAGATGATGCCTCAATTGTTTTAGTCAACACGGAGCTATATATTTGGATTGCCGTAACTTGCAACATTGTCAAAAAATTCTCAAAATAATGGAGAGAGTCTCATGCAATAGGCAAGGAGAAAATGCTGAGAGCCCGACGACTCACATCCGTTGAGAAATCTGAAATGCAGAAGCAGAAAATAAATGTAGAAGAATAGGTCACTGAAAGCAAAACAAGTCAACTCAAGAGGAAAGCTAAATAGATGCTGATGAAGCAAGACAAATACTCACTGAGATAAAGGAGACGCGATAGATCTATCACCAAACTAAGACACTCCAGCAAATAAAAACATAAACAATAGCAGCATTACAAGAACTGCAGAAACAACGAGACAAAAGAGACGCAAAAGACAAAAGAGACACAGAAAGTAGATCCAGACAAATCAAACAGCCAACGAAAATACGAGAAAGAACAGAAAATAAGCCTACATAAAAATCACCAAAAGAGTATACCAGCAAAGTGTACAAATATTAAGAAAGATTCACTGAAGAAAAAAAAAACAGAGTATTCCCACCAAAAAGCATTAAGACAAACGAAGACCGAAAAGCACAGGCTCAATACGAGTAGATATTGAGAAAAGAAATGAGGCGGGTGGGGAGAGAGAAAAAAAAGGGGGGGGGGGGAGAGAGCGATAGATATCAGAAAAAAACAACACTGGAGACAGATCAACCAAACCAGCCGATTCATTCTCTTTCGAAACAAATCCTACCTTGACGGAGGACTTACAGTCGCTATACAGAGGATAATGTCAACAGAAATATTACTGTTACAATTCAAAGGTATGATCGAGGTAGACATCAAATTTTGAGGATCCCTCGAGTTAGGATGGAGTGGAGGAGGAGAAGTAAAATAAGAAGATAATGACTACGATTACGACGACGGTAAAGATAAAAAGAAGTAGAAGAAGAAAAATAAGAGGAATAAGAAGCAGAAAAAGAAAAAGAAGCATAAGAAGAAGCAGAAGAAGAAAAAGAAGCAGAAGAAGAAAAAGAAAAAAGAAGAAGAAGAAGAAGAAGAAGAAGAAGAGGAAGAAGAAAAGAAGAGGAAGAAAAAAAAGAAGAAGAAGAAGAAGAAGGAGAAGAAGAAGAAGAAGAAGAAGAAGAAGAAGAAGAAGAAGAAGAAGAAGAAGAAGAAGAAGAAGAAGAAGAAGAAGAAGAAGAAGAAGAAGAAGAAGAAGAAGAAGAAGAAGAAGAAGAAGAAGAAGAAGAAAAAGAAGAAGAAGAAGAAAAAGAAGAAGAAGAAAAGGACGAAGAAGAAGAAGAAGAAGAAGAAGAAGAAGAAGAAGAAGAAGAAGAAGAAGAAGAAGAAGAAGAAAATGAAGAAGAAGAAGAAAAAGAAGGGGCGTGGGTGACGACGATTGTGTGGAAGCATATCGAAATAGGCGACAAAATATTGATATTTCTTGAGAGTTCCCAGTGCATCTGTCTTAATACAACAACAGTCCACATACAGATAAGCCAGAACTTTAACCTGAATATGCACAACCGAATCCAATTCTAGAACAAGAATAAACTCCAGAAATGAATAAACAATCAGAAAATTTCAGGAAAAAAAATTTATTTGCTTAGAAATTAAGTGACTTAATGTAGTTTGCTAGCGGTACCTACCTATCTCGTTTTCTTGAATATCATTATAGGCATTCGCATCGTAAAGAGTTGCTTGCCACTTCCTGTGTAAAAAATATTCATGCTGTACAATAAACGTAGGAATTCATGTATTGAATACCGTACTCTTCCTATGCTAACTAAATCACATTGTATTTTTTTTTTGTTTTAGTTTCTGTTGACATGAACTGCTTGTATTAATTTGTTGTGCCTCATTAAGTTGTATATTACCGATCAAGTGCCAATTGGTTTTTAAAAATATAGGTCTAGCCCTGTATTCCCAAAACGCCTTAAGGCTTGAAAAAAGGACTTGTTTTAACTCATTTAGTTGTTACTTTAACCTTCCCTATCTCTGATTTGTTTTAACTCTTCTGCCTCATATTGTGTGTGTGTGTGTGTGTTTTTAACCATTAGATCAAGATAGTCGTTGTGGTGTAACGGATGCTCCCCTTTTGGATCCGTATATGATGGGTTCAAATCCGAACGCAACCGGACGTTTTCTAGGAATGACCTTTGCTGCCAGGTCTTTCTACCGATGATCAGGGGACCCCTGCTGTGCATGCTGCCCTGTTGAGTTAATATATTAATGACTGTGTCGCCGAACAACACGGATCAGAACGTCCAAGGTCTACCACAAATGTGGCCTTTCAATTGTTTGCAGTATATATGTGTGTGTATGTGTAAATATATATAAAAATATATCTCTATATATACATATATACATACATATATACATATATACATACATACATGTGTGTGTGTGTGTGTGTGTGTACTTTTAGAATAATAGTCGGCTATCTTCCGAATAATCGTCCCAAATTATCGATGCCGAAAATATACCCTAACAGGGCCTCAGTCACATGTCAATTGCGAACTTCCGGCGACTTAATTTGCGCACTTCCGGCGAATACCGCCACCGCCGAGAGTATCTCCCACGCCGATACGCGCGACATGGATTGGGACTTAAATAGATACCTGGGACTCACGAGCAGCAGCTACCGCATTTCCTGCAGCTTCCTTTATTTTATATATGGTATATAGGTATATTTTCGGCCTCGATAATTTAAGACCGATATCCAGAGGATAGCCTAATAATCAATGAGAACCATTTAATTCTTCCAATGTCTTCCAAGTTTTATTCAGTCATTCTTTTCTCAGTGAAGCATTAACCGTCAGTCAGTTGACATTATTAACTTTGCGAATTATTTCGTGCGTTTTTTGGATTTTGCAGGTTAGGTTTTCTACAACATGCTTCCTAATATGTTGGGTTGCTACGCTTTCTGTAGCACCCAGGCAGAAAATGGTGATTATTGCTTACTGATACTCACATTGACGATTGTCGATTTGAAGTAATCATTGATACTCACTGACTCTTGTCCTCAAGTGTCCTAAGTGCTCGCATAAGCCTAAAATTGTCCAGCTTGTTAATAAGGACGCGGTTGTTGTAGTAATGGCCCTCGTTCATCGTATACTTGAGGTCATCAGTAGATCGATGTGATTGTCAAGCGGAAAGGAGAGGCAAAAGTTCACACATGAGGTAAATGGTATATTTAACACATGCTGTCAATGATATATTTACATGCGGTCAATGATATATTTAACACATGCTGTCAATGATAAATTTACATGCTCTCAGTGATATATTTAACACATGTGGTCAATGATATATTTAACAAATGTGGTCATTTATATATTTAACACATTCTCTCAATTATATATTTAACACACGCTGTCAATGAAATATTTAACGCATGCTCAATAATATATTTAACCCATGGTCAATTATATATTTAACACATGCGGTCATTGATATATTTAACACATGCGGTTATTGAAATAATTAACACATGCGGTCATTAGTATATTTAACACATTCGGTCATTGATATATTTAACACATGCGGTCAATGATATATTTAACACATGGGGTCATTAGTATATTTAACACATTCGGTCATTGATATTTTTAACACATTCGGTCATTGATATATTTAACACATGCGGTTATTGAAATAATTAACACATGCGGTCATTAGTATATTTAACACATTCGGTCATTGATATATTTAACACATGCGGTCAATGATATATTTAACACATGGGGTCATTAGTATATTTAACACATTCGGTCATTGATATATTTAACACATTCGGTCATTGATATATTTAACACATTCGGTCATGGATATATTTAACACATTCGGTCATTGATATATTTAACACATTCGGTCATTGATATATTTAACACATTCGGTCATGGATATATTTAACACATTCGGTCATTGATATATTTAACACATTCGGTCATTGATATATTTAACACATGCGGTCATTGATATATTAAGCCCATGGTGTCAGTTATATACTTAGCAAACTTGGCCGATTATATGTTTGCCTTCTAATGCGTCTCTACTTTGATTGCTCTTTGAAGATTTTATCTTCAGAAAACAGTTAATAAGAAACACTTACATTTTCGTAAAATTCTTCAATATCTGCTTTTTCAAAGCAACGGTCTGGGTATCCAACCTTTGGCGACATAGCATCCAGCTGAAACGGGAGTATCAGAAATGTTAGCTTTTTGAAGTTATCTTAACACATTGTGAAGTCGAAATGTTCCTTCTTAGAATACTCATCATCATGTAGCAGGTCTTTTGCTGCGATGTTCCTTGCTCGTGTCCCAGGCTGTTGTCTAGGGGTGTGCTCTAACCGATGGTATACCCAACAGTGCACGTTGACACCGATGTTATAAGCAAAGATACATCTGCTTGATAACGATGTTTATTGACAATAATTCATTCACAAATATGTCCAGTCCTTGTCCCTAATCCCTCACCAAGTCCAACATTCAATCGCACCCGTAGTCAGACGTCAACACTCAGAACATTCACGTACAAGCACTCGGTAGTTTGCCATCTTCCACTCCACATCTCCGGACAGGTGACTTCAGTCGTTTCCTTTGTGGTCTTCACTGTTCTGAGTAGCTGCTGATTACCTGCGTAGCTGGTTCGTTGCTGAAGATGATATTCGAACTGGCGTCTTGAAGTATTCTCTTTCTTCGTCAGTTATTCTTCACATTCATACAGAATCACAAACACGTCCTCTCACTCTGACTGGCAAACACATACTCTCTAATCAGAAGGTGGTCTGACCTTATAGCCAGGTGTTGGGCTCCACGTGGCAACACGTGGTGGTCTACCCTTTTTGATAACTTCTTTTTCGCCGAGTCTTTGGCTTTTCTCTGTTTTCTGTCATACCTCGTGTTTTCCCCCTACCTTTGTTATCGGGGAATTCCCGTGTGAAAATATCCCACATTAAATTCGCAGAACGTTGCTCTCATCACAGTCTGCCTGAAAGAATCTCGGTCTCTCGCCAGCTCTCCCGCCTCATGTAATTTCACACTCAATGAGTCACTTGTATCATGTGCCCATCTTCGTGTTGGTCGGCCCCTGCCCTTCCTTCCTGGTAGAATGCCTTGTGTTATAATTTTTTTCGAATCCGCCGTGGCGCTTGATATGACCAACATATTTCAGCTTCCGAGAGAGGATGCTGTTTATTAGCCAATCTTCCTTGATGTTCAGTTCTTTCAAGGTGTCAGTATTTCTCCTCTTCATTTTCCAAAATATTCTGAGAATCTTTCTATAGCATTTAAGCTCAAAAGCCCCTATTCTCTTTCTTAAGGACCTTGAAATACTAGCTTCTATAAATAATAAAGTACATATTGTCCGCATTTGCTTCTCGTGAATTTACATAGCACTCACTTAAGGTTGGGCCGACCCAGGTGCCAGTGTCATTTCAGAACAAAAAAGACTACTCCGTCATGCCAGCGTCTAGCTGCTACACTGAGGTAGCTCTCCCCCGAGTCAACGATATAAAACTGTATAACATGCTGGAGGTTACAAGCACAATACTGGCTCAAGTAGAGAAAGCTATCAAATAAATTGAAAACTGGGTAAGCTGTAGGCGCTGAGAACATAACAATGGAAATGATTTAATTAGTTGCAGATGGCTGATTGGTTTCGAGGTATGGTGTTCCCCTCGAGTGCTGGAGGTCTTCGGTTCAAGCCCCTGTGAAGGCTGGGATTTTTTCACGTGTACTTCTAGTAATTCCCCCTGGTCTCAGGGTAGGAAGACCGGACGCCCATGTGTATTCTTGAGCACGTAAAAAATCAATCGTCAGTCGGAAATCAAAAAGAGTATTCTAAAGGCGCTGACCAGGCAACATTTGGAGTTAAAAAGCTACCCAAAGTATTTCAGGATCCTCGCTGGTGCTACAGAGTTAGTGCATTGCGCTGAGAACTTCAGACTCAGGCTTGAGTTAGAAGTAGAACGGAGCATTTATAGGTTACAGCCCTGTGCCATGATGTTGATCCGTCGAAAAAACATCAAACAATTTGCACTCGATGGTTGATTCTTTTCATTGTCCATATTTGACACTGACAGAATAAAGTAAAGATGATTTGTCTTAGATGTTTCTTTGCGCTGATTAGAATTGTCTTTTTATGTAAGCGTGTTTTTATTTTTTTATTTATTTTTTTTTTTGTGTGTTTCAATTTGTATTTTTGATAGCGATAGTAAATCAATTGCCATACTGCAATTTCACCAGAATCCTGTTGGCTAGGACTTTTCTGGTTGGCTATTTGTTACGTATTATTTATTGGCTGCGCAACTCTCCCTCACTTTAATCCAAGTCACCGCGCAAGTCACTCTTTCCTCTTCATGCTTGATGAAAAAGTCTAGTCTAGTTTGCTGACTCTAGAACACGCAACATATAATTGTGTCATTGGTGGTCTTTTAAACTGTATTATTAGGACTTTCAAAAATGGTTATTTGGCTATCACATGCTAAAGCTGTTTGTATTTTTTTAAAGAGACGGAAGTAAAGCTGATTGCTGTACTTGCAAATAACGCAAAAACACACACACACACACACACACACACAAAAGAAAAAAAGAAACAGACACCAAAAAAAAAAAAAAAAAAATTAAGACAAAAAATACACAAAAATGTTAGAATAGTTGAGGTAGCGTTGGTAACATAAAACAAATTAAAAAAAAAAAAACACACACACACACATTTAAATCAACTCTCTAAGTTAACAATTTCTGTCATTACCCCCTCCCCTCCCTTCTCCAACGACTACTGCTCGCTTCCTCTCTGAAGGATTTGAAAATCATCACCTGACGATATTTTTTTTTAAACTGACCTTGACATCCCTGTCCATCCGAATAAAATTGGGAGCAGCAATTTTAATAAGAAGTAAATGTTGCCAGTGTAATATTTACCACACCATCCTTCAACTACCACCACTATTACTATTACCACTACCACAACCACCACCACAATAACTAAACTAATGTCACTACTATCTGTTTTACCATCGGAGTAGATAGGAAGGGGGGGGGGGGGGGGGGAGAAGAAGGCCTGAGCTAGAAGATCTGGCGTCGCATGGCTAGTGCTGGCGTCATGGACTGGTCAGTTAAGGATGTGTGGTTCTGCTCCTCCCCCCCCCCCCCCCCCCCCCCCCCCACACACGAAAAACTCAATCACCTTTTTGGCGGTCAAACCCTGGTCTCCCGTATGACATACCACAAATACTACTCCTGCTGTTACTATGAGCAGGCAAAACAATAATTGTGACTTAAAGCTCTCTCGGTTAACAGTATGAACAAGCCAATTCTCTGACTACTCTTTCTCTCATCGAAGTAGTTTTTAAAAAAAAAACGAAGTAAAAAGCAACAAAAACAGGAAATATACACCATAATTTCGAAATGAACGCTATACTAGACGACACAGCCTAATGCCACCGCAATGTCAGACAAAACAATTATATCCAAATAAATATAAATGGAAATATATGAAAATTCAACGTAATAATGTAATCGTTAACTTTGAAATGAAGTTGTAGAATGCGAAATGGTCACATTAATGATCAACTTGTATACCCGCATACCTGCAGCTTTTTTATGTTTTAATTTTTAGTATTTACGGCCGCATGGCTAGTGCTGTCGCCAAGACTGTACAGGTGAGGATTTTATTTTGCCCCTACCCCCTCCTTTTAAAATAAATGCCGTATGGAGGAACCGAACTCAGGTCTCCGCTACAGGAACCCAGCGTTATAACTGTTCGGCCAACCGTTCATTCCTCCCTGAAGTGAAAAATCACCCCCCCCCCCCCCCAAAAAAAAAAAAAATTATTTAAAGGGTGTGTCCCGACTACTGTGCCACTATTCTAACAACACTTAAAACCACAGGCAATTGTTTTCTCCTAGACAGTTATCCCAGAAATAACTTCAAGTAATAATGAAACAACACAGCAACGATTTGCGGAAAATAAATACGTATCTCGCCGGCGGATGTTAAAAGTGGTGCGTCCCAAATAATGCTCATGCGCATGTACGAACGTGGCTTAAATGAAAAGTCACTGTCGAAAAAAAATTGTGTTTCGTAAATTGTTACTACAAATTTCGCCACCGATTTCAAATAGACAGGTAGCATCCCCAAATCAAAACGAACATATCCTGAAATTTTCAGCTTAATCCGTTCAGTAGTTTATGAGTCTATAGGTAACAAACAGACAAACATTGCTTTATGTATATAGATTCTTGGTTTTTTTTTTTTTTTTTGTTTATGAAGGACTGTACAGGCAGTCAGTTCCAGGTAATTCTGGACAGCCTGCATAATTTTAAACAAATCCGGCATAGATCTAGAAGTTGCCAAATTTATTTTTTGTTAACCTCAACTTGTATAATAAACTTTGATGTCATCTGATAAATACAACACCTTATACACAGATATTACAGTCGACCCCTCATGGGGTGCAATTTTTCGTTATTCTAAAACCCTCTCTCTGGCTCTTGCAGTAGCCCTGAATATAGCCGGGCCTGAAATATGTAAAGTAAGTAAGTAAAGGACCCTTTTCCACGCCTTTAGGCGTCTAGGGCATATAGGGTTAGACCTATATTTTTGTAGACCAATAGGCTCAAGATGGATGATGTGGTTAGCATCACGCCGGCTGCCTTTACTTCCCGGGACTGCACCCGGTACCCACTCCAGGCTGGGTCGACCTGGGAGCCAAGGTCATTTGTGAAAATAGTCCGGCTCCGCCAGAGAGCGAACACACGACCTTCCGATCCGCGGCGAGCGTCTAGTCGCTCGGCCACAGCGACTACCCCTAACATTTATGACCTAGCTATAAATATGGCTGAAAGGGGTTTTTGGGACCCCTCCACGGGTGATCCTTATCCGCTTGGTGGCACTTTGTGTCACCGAGTGTTTATCGCTTGTGTGATGTCCTGGTGGGGAATAACTACTTACCTACCTACCTCAAATACTGACGAGACAAAAGCTAATTTTTACGTGAGCACAATAACCTTTTCAATAGCGTGAACTTTTGTGGCATTGCTCATCCACGTCTTTTCCTCAACGATCTTCCTAAACTCAGCCTTCACATTATAAATCATCTGTTCAATCTGTAACAGAATAGAAACCACATGGTGAAATAACCAATGACTGCACAAGCCGTGATCACTAAAAAGTATGCTATTTTTCTCAAGGAAACATTTACTCTTCACTAGCCAATATGTTCAATATCTGACATGTGATTCCGCTTTGTTCTACCCAGCTTTGAGTGGGTACCAGGTACAATCATGGGAAGCAAAGGCGGCTGGCGTGTTGCTGAGTACATCACCTAGCAGTGCCGATTGGTCAATAAATTATAGGTCTAGCTCTTTATTCCCACTATGCCTGGAGGCACAGGAAGAGTCTTTTTATATGAACTATCATTTAAAGTTATGAACAAATTGAAACTTAAATGGGTTTGCTAATTATAGACAAATGATGTGATTTTCCTTCCGTACAGAAAACAAAACTTAGCACTATTCTTCTGAAGAGATGTAGAGCTTGTAGAAATGGAATTCATTGATCCACACAAGATCACTAAGAATATACAGACTTCAACGAGATAACAGTAAAGATACTAGTAGCTTGTGTACTTGTATTCTTATTTCGTCGCCCAGCTTCTGAGTTGACTGCATGGCGTGACACTGTGAGCTGCTGCGTTTGTTTTTCGTTGGCACAAGAGCAGAGCATCTGTGGGGTGACCCGTTTGCTATGAAGCTGAAACTAGGATTACCAGATTACCAGATTCTTATATTCATTTCCTGCCAGACCGGTTAGAATATTCAATTTTGCTCACATTTAACAATGTGAACATCATGTGAATATTTCTGAACTAGTTAAAGAACATTTAAACGGGCATATACGTAGATTTATATATATAGCATCATCCCATAACATTGCGTGTCTTTGGGTCACCAGTTGCTGCTGATTGCCTGATCATCATCCTCCACCTTTGACCATCAGATCCGATTAACTTCATGCCTGCATGTCTAAGGTCTGTTCAGTCAGTCTAGTAGTGAATCCAGGTTGTTCCTGGTCTGCCTTTTTTTTCTTCTCCCCTCTACTGAGCCCTGCAGTATTGTTTTTGAGAGACAATTAGATACTTATTACACGTCCGTGCCGTCACATTTCCCGTATTTCCACTGTAGTAAACAAAGATTCATAATCGCTAATGTGCTGGATAAGTACACCCCTGACCTCGTCATTTGTGGTTGGCCTCTGTATGATATGCCAAGTATTTTTCCAAAAGATCGCATTTCCAATGCTTGTATCTTCTTTTCGAGTTCAGCTGTCCACGTTTCACAGTCCCACACAAATAAAATGTAATAAGATTTCAGTTGCAGAAATAGTAAACCCCCGACTAAATTCCTGTGATTGTAAGTAAATGAGGTCGGTAAGCGACCCACTGTGCCGGAATTCAATGTCTCAGACTTGAAATGTTTGAGAAGTGTGTGTGAAAGTGGCAAATAGTTTGAACTTATGAGTGTACTCAGCAAGTATTTACAACACAAAATAAGCTCGTGAAGACAGACCTGATAATTCAACATTTGCGTCTCGAATGGACCCCTCAGTGCCTTAATTTCCAAAAGCTGTTTGTTTGTGATTGCCAGCTAAGTGCAACAATTTATTCGTCGTTTCCAGAAAATGCATTAAGATGAGTTAAGATGTTAAGAATGGATATCATAGCGCTAAAGACAATCCCCTAGCAGCTTCATTTCTTTGATCAGCTTTGGAAGAGTACACATCTAGATGATGCCCGTCACAGTATGATTGCATGTTCTCCCACCTTTGCCCAGGTAAGAATGTGCTCTCAAGGTGTGAACACTTGAGTGATGTTTGTGTGACGATTAAGCATTATCTACACTTATGTATACAGAAAACTTACATAGCTTTTGGCAGTGTCAGAGAAGACCTTATCCACGAACTGTCTGCCCATCCCTTTCCAGAAAGCTTTGTTTACAATGTTTAGACAAACGTCCCATCGTGGTCCCTCAGGTTCAGCACCAATAGCCTAAATTTTTAGAAATATTGTTTTAAATGTTGGCGACTTCAAACTTGCAATCGAATGATTTAACCAACATAACTAGCATGTCTTTTGTTACATTGTACTGGGTTAGGCTTACACATTTTCTCGTGTCTGCATGCCTAATCCTCAAGAGTTTAAATGCCAAAGGAATTGCTTTACTCGGTTCCCAAGTCTGTTAAGTCGACTAC